CTGTACTTTTTTTGCTGTCGTTGCCTCCCCCACAAAAAAAAAAAAAAACGCATCACTTTATCTCTCCTTGCATCTCCTTCTGAAATCGAGACGAAAGCGAAAAAGCTTCTCTCTTCTTTACCTTCAAACCCATAGAAAAGACGAGAGGAAGGAGAAGCCCTTAGATTCTTGTTGCCACGCCTTTGACTACGAGCACTATAAGAGGACTGGCATCGAGTGTTCTGAATTAAAATGAAGTATGAAATTAACTGTATTGGACGCTGCCTTCTTGTTTTTTGAAGCCAAAACCCGTCCGATCTGGTTAATGACCCAATAGCAGTTTCTGGCTCAATAGCTTAGCTTAATCTGGTTTGATTTCACCATCAGAACAAGTCTTTGAATTAAACTGAATCGTTGGGTGTATGTTTAGCAGTTTGATCGGCCGACGGTCCTATTTTAAAAGGGCGAAAGATTATTATTTTTTTCCTAAACTTTTTTTTGGGAGTTTAAATAATTTTTTCAAGAATAAAATCATTTTTTAAGACTCATCATTTTGTTATTTATTATCATAGAATAGCTGTAGAGCCCATATGCTACAACAAGAAATTATAACTCATTTGGACTATCTAACATGGATCAAGTGGGCTAAAAATGATTGGAACAGAGCTTGATTTTAGCAATAAAACAATAACAAAATGAGTTAGAGTATTTTGTTGACTATGTGTGAGCTCCCCACAACTATTTTATATAAACAGATAATGAAAAAGATAATAAGTTTTTAATCGAAAAGCAATTTTGCTCATACAAAAATTTTTTTCAAAGGATATCGTCTCATCTTTCAGTACAAAATATTTAGTGCTCTTAAAAAAATTTAGGAGAAAAACAAACTTTAACTCATTTTAAAAAACACAAGTATTAATTAGGAAGAATGATAGTTAGGTCCTAGAATATTGAATTAATAATAGTTAAGTTTCCAACATTTTTTTTTTGGAAAAACAAGTTGAAAATATTGGTCTGAATAATTATAAATTTAAGGATTTCAATTGCAAATAAGTATTAAAATATTAGATATAACTCTTAAATTATAATAGGAATTTCTATTTGTAACTATTTAAATTGATATTTATAATTTATTTTTTTTAATTTTGTTTGGAACCTACTTGTCATTAATTCAATATTTTAGAACGTAATTGTCTTCTCTCTATTAATTATGCATATACTAAATGTTAAATCTAGCTGCTCAATAATCAATAGGACTCTTACATATCGTGCAAGCCTAGATTAATTTTTATTATTATGAATGAGACTCCTAGACAAGGTACTAAAAATCAAATCTGTCTATGAATCGGCTGAAAATGAAGGGTCAGGGGTTAAGGTTTGAAACAAGGATCAAACTGAAGTTAAAGCACAATGATAATTCTAATAATAATAAAACACAATAGCATTCCAAATATTCTTTGTTACAATCCTGCCATAGTCAAAAAGTTTAAAACTAATAATAATCAATACTAAAAATATATTTAAATAAATTAATATATTTTTAGTTTTATATAGATGATCTCAAATAAAAATAATATAAAAATTCAAATAATAATAAGGGTAAAGTTAAAAACAATAATAAATTAGTTTATGAACAAAAATAATAAAATTTAAATATTTAAAAATATAAATATAAATATATAATTAAGAATGAGATAAAAATAAAATCTTACATATTATTTAATTTTCTAATGTCAACCCACGTAAAGAAATAATAATATAATTCCAAAAGTTAATTATATTTGTAACAGGATGAGGATATAGGCTAATAGGCTTAAGCATGTAGCTCTTATTTAAAAAAAAAAAAAATCTCGTATTGGCGGTGAAAAGATGTAAAAGTGGCTAAGGTAGACGTTAGTGTGGTATAGGTTAGCATGAGGTATGGGAAAATGGAATAGCTTTAGGTCAAAAGTTGTAGAGAAAGAGGAGAGAATCAGCAGCAAAGGCAATAAGTGTTTGCGGGTTGGGTTTAAAACGCGAGAGAATAATGTTAACGTTCAGGCAATGAGCTTCTTCCCCTTCATCTTCATTTTTTCTAACTTTCCAGCACCTTTGTTCAATGATCATCCTCTTCTTCATGGTATTTATTGTTTTCCTTTTCTTTTTCCCTTTCGTTTTCATTCTTCTTCTTCTTCTATCTTTTCATTTTGGGATCTAATTCTTTTTCACTTGTCTTTCTCCATTCCATTCTTAACCTCCTTGACCTGTGGGGTTAGGCATGTTAATTCAAGTTAGTGCCAAGTCACATAGCCAGTTCAACCAACTGGTTCGATCCAGTTTTACATACTCCCAGAGTGCTTAATTCTTGGTTGAATAGTGCGGATATTAATGCCCCCCCCCCCCCATTTTAGTGAATTGTTACTCCTACACATCCTTCCTTGATTTGGGAGAGCTAGATAACTAAATCGATTATAAATTTAATTAAATTAGTAATTAATTTATAAAAATGTTTGTTGATTGTTCTAAAATATCCCTCTCTTAAATGATTTACATTATTGGAGATTACCCTTTTTAAATGCATGCATACATGTGCAATCAACAGGGAAAGTTTAGAAGAAAAAATAATCAATGTGGAAGACAGAAAATGGACATTTTTTATTTGTTCGAAGAAGACATCTTATATGTATGATGAAAACAAACTTCTTTAATCTTATAAAAAACAAATTTCTTTAATAACTCTCACATTTACGAGTCATGGAGTAGTTAATAAATTAACATGACTTAGGCTTTGCCCTCTATTTTCATCCAAAACAAAAATTTTTTAACTCTATTTATAAATTACTTTCAACATATTTTACCATAACAAATGAAAATATTAAAAATCATTATTTCTGTCTAAAAATTTAATAAGTTATCAACTTTACTCTTATTAAATATACATACTTTAACGACATATTTTTTTTCTCTTCAACATTTAGTGAAGGTGAAAAGAAAAAATTATGATAAAAATTTAATAAAGTGATATATAAATAGGATCAAAATAAATCTTCTTCCTCTTCCTTGTAAAGACCAAAAGGAGTAAGAATAACGACATTTTAATTACTGAGTGGGATTAGGGGCTTGTAGTACCACAATCAAGAATTAATAATTTGTTTATGAATTGATTTCCTATAATTTTTATCCTTGATCGTCTCATCCTTTGTTAAATAATTAACAAAAAATAAAGGCAAGAAAAAGTGAGATATGCAATTTCTAAAAAATCAGCATAGATAGATTTAGTGTCTCCTATCCCTGCTCTTTTTTCCAATTTTGTATGGACTATGTGTCTCAGTACTATGAATAAAGAAGAAACATTATTTGCCGAAAGAAAAAGAAGAAACATTGAGTTTGACAGGAAAGAAGATTCAAGACAAAATTGCAATTCTCAAAGATAAAACAGTGATTAATAATTGAAAAAACATCCATAATGTTGTGCTGTATGATATATTAAACTACATAAATTTCTTCCAATTGTTTAACTAATTATTATGTGCATTATATTCTATGAGAAAAAGTAATTTTTGGTTCCTTTTTAAAATTTCATGTCAACTTAGTTATTTTGATTGTAAGAATAAAATCAAATTGTTTTGTTATGCAAAAAGTTAATAAAAACACTAAAAAGGGAGACTTTTTCCATATAATATTCAACCTAGCAAAATAAAAAAAATAAAGATTTAGTGTCTATACTTTTGATTTAATTATAACTTATCCCCTTTGTCTTTATATATAGAGTATTTTCTAGAAAATTATTTTATCCTTAAATATAAAAGATGTCATGATATTTTTGAGTAATCAAATAATTTTACCCTTGTTTTGAAAAAAGAAAAGATATTAATTGTATGCTTTATCCACCACCAGCATGATATTAATTGACATTATGTGAGGCAAAATTGGATTAATTACTATGATTTAATGGGATTTCAATTAAATAAAAAACTGTTATTTGTATGCATAATTTAGTTAAAAATACTTTATATATAAGGATGGAAGAAATAATCATGAAACTTTATCTCATGCAACTCACTTATTATATTTTAGACTTAATTGAAACTTTATTCATAAATTCTAATACAGTATAACTTAATCTTCATAATTTTAACTATGTAAAATATTAGTTACCAAACTTCAAGAAATAACTTCAATTCTTATAATTTTTTTTTTGAAAATATAAGGATTAATATTTTAAATAATTAGAAATATAGGAATTGAATTACATTGAATGAAAGGTCAAAGAATGGGTTTCAACCAAAACTATAAGTAATGAGTTACATTAAGTCAAAATTTAGTAATTGTGCTTTGACTTTTAAATGATTCAAAATTATAGAAACGATTTGTTAATTTTCTCAATTAAACAAGAGTCCGCCCATTTTACCCAACCAAGAAGAAAGTAAGAAAGAAAGAGCTTGCCCCATTGAAATGGTCTAATTGATAAGGATAGAATTCACTCACGTTTGCAAATTTATGGAACTGAATCTCACTAATGATTCAATTTCAAGGGTAAGTTTTGTTGCTAGAAAATATAATGGAAATGTAATGGATTAAAGAATCAATACAAATGAAAAAAATTACCCCCCTCATAATATATAAGCATAATAAAATTTAATACTATATATTATAAATGTAAAAATTATTATATTCTTCGGATACTTTATGAATTATGACTGTCAGCGTTATAAATTAAATTGTCATTCCCTCTCATAACATATGATTGAGCTATTTGTTCTTCATATTTTGATCATTTATTTATTTTTTAAATTCATTCCATTTTCATTGGTAGCAATTAAAGGAGCCTTTGTCTTACTAAGGTGCCACTAGTTTATATATATATATATATATATTTGGTGACAAAGTCACACTTCCCCTAAGAATGATCTGATTAGATTTTATATTATATATTATGAAATTGATATAGCCACTGCTATATTGAAGATGACCAGCTTCATCTATTTATTCTGTGACACACTCTCTCACTTTCATAGTCACCCATCTCTGCATATAAATACCCTCCAAACGCACTCCGTCCCTCCAACCCAACGCTTACTCCTTCGCTTCTCAACACCTCTCTCTCTCTCTCTCTAATTCCTTCACCGTCTTCCATGGCCGAAAACCGCCACGGCAACCCCTTCTTATTCAACCAACCTTCCTCCCACAAGGGTGGCTGGCACGCCGCCATCTTCATCATCTGTACGTCTTTCAGTTCCATCCAACTCACATATACACATATTATTATATATATATATATATCTCGAAGAAGACGATTAGATTTAGAATAGATTCGATAACCTGGTGATGGGTTTGATAATATTCTCTTGACAGGTGTGGAGTTTGCAGAGAGATTCGCATACTATGGATTGTCGGGGAACCTGATAACGTACCTCACGAATGCTCTTCACGAGCCTATTACGACGGCGGCCAAAAACGTCAACACTTGGGTCGGCGTTTCGTCTTTGTTTCCTCTGATCGGTGGGTTCGTCGCCGACTCGTATCTCGGTCGTTTCAACACCATAGTCGTCTCGTCTCTCATCTATCTTTTGGTCTGTAACTTTTTCTCCTGCTATCATCTGCATTCTTCTTGTTGTTGATAGATTTCGCCTTCGAATCCAATCTTGCGATCGATGCCTGCGTTGTGGTCAACAGTTTGTTTTGCATTTTAGTGGCGGCATATTTTGGGTCCCACAACTTTGAACACAAGAAAAATCTATGGAACTATTTTTGTTTGAAGGTGTGTTTATTTTTAAAATTTTTTAAACAACAAAAAAAAATCAACGGCGGATCCCATTTTAGACGTGGGGCCTACCACCATGTATTTATAATTTTATCATTTTTTCCAAAAAAGGAGGGAGATATAAGGTTTTTCCTCTCTTATATTATAGCTTTGTTTCATGTACTTGATAAGTTGATTAATCAATTAATTAATTTGTAACTCTTTGTCAGATGAGTTCGAAATAGACCCAGCAGTGAGTCCCACTGAACATAAGGGACCCCACACTACTGTGTCTACTATTTTTCACTTTAAGAGAACCTTGTACGAACATTTCGTGACGTCCAGTGCCACATTTTCTACAGAAACATCCACAGTATAACACACTCTTGCTATGGAAAGTTGAGTCAAGTTGAACCAATAAATTAATAAATTAATATTTTATTCAATTTAATAAAATATTTTATTTATAATTGATTTGATCACAATTTAATATTAATTTTAATTATTAGCTTTTGAATTAATGTCTTGATTGATACAATATCTATCAGGTTAGTTTTCAATACCTTGATCACACCTACCTCATAATTTTTTTTTTAATGCTTTTCAACCCTAAACTCTAAACTGAATTTTGTATACCATGTATGATGGGAAAAAATTTTCACGTTGCAAAAAAAATGTAGGGCATGATACTTTTGACACTCTCAGTCTCAGGACTGAAGAATACCACCTTATTCTTCGTCTCCCTTTATATACTGTCCATCGGCGACGGTGGTCACAAGCCGTGTGTCCAGACTTTCGCGGCGGATCAGTTCGATGACGACTCGCCGGAGGAAAAGAATGCCAAGAGCTCATTCTTCAACTGGTGGTACTTGGGGATAGTGGCTGGTTCAACTATAGCCACTTTCCTAGTAATATACCTTCAGGTAATCAATTAATTGAGTTCATATTTTTTTTAAATTTTTTTTTCCCAACTTATGGGGAGACATAGTATAATATGATCCATGTAATAATTATTATGTGCTAAAAATATAGGATAATATTGGATGGGCCACGGGCCTGGGAGTACTAGTTGCTGTGTTGGCATTAGCATTAGCATTGTTCTTGTTGGGTATAAAAAGGTACAGGAAGGAAGGCCCATTGGGTAGCCCATTTACGAGGATGGCCCAAGTCTTCGTGGCTTCAGTTCGGAAATGGCGTGTGGCGAACACGCGTGATCCTCGCACATATTGGTATGGCGAGGAAGAGGATCATATATCCCATCTCCAAATTCAACCCAAGTCTCATTCTTTGGCCCACACCAATCAACTCAGGTGCTTCTCATTTCTTACAAAAGCTTCATTTCCATCATATAAAAGTAAAAAGGAGTTTATTATTATGTTCATTTGTGTTGGTTGTCATGTATACTTTTTATTTTATCAATTGTCTAACCAAATTTTCTACCATCATAAAATAACATAACTATTATAAAAAAATGAATAAATGATAGTTAGAGCTCAAAATATTGAATTAATGATAGTTAAATTTTAATAAAAAAATTTTAAAAATAAATTATAAATATCAATTCAAACAGTTAAATTTTTTTTTTACAATATAAGAATTATATTTGATACTTAAATACTTATTTATAATTAAAACTCTTGAATTTCCAATTATTTGAATTGATATTTTAAACTTATTTTAAAAAAAATCTTATTAGGAATCTAATTGTTATTAATTTAATATTATGAGACTCTACTGTCATTTTTCCATCTATTAGTCATTTAGTTTCTATAATTTAGATTTGATTACAATTTAATTTCTAAAGTTTAAGTTATTGTAGTCTCAATTTTTTTAAATTTTAGTTATTTAATTTGTTGGTAGTCTCTACATTTTCTTATTTGATTAAAGCTCAATTTATGAGAGATCAAATGATTTTTCGAAAGTATTGGGTGGTTGAAACTTGAGGGATTGTATTGGATAATGAGTGAAATTTTAAAAACTTAGTTATTTATAATTTAGTTAAAATTATAATAAATAAATAAATAATTTTTTAGAAATAAATATAGAAGCTACATTTTGATTACCATGATAGAGACAATGGCATGAGTTGTATCAATGTTCAAATGCCAATACTGTCACAGCAACTAGAAGGTGCTTTTTGAGAAAGAGAGAGAAAAAATAAAGTGGTGACCATAGTCATACACTTAATTATGAGTTGTGGCCTGTGGGCCTCTTATATAACTATATTATTGAAAAAATTAATTATTCAATTTTTAAATATTGAATTAAACTTTAAGAAGATTTTGAATTGATTTAAAATTTCAATTCATTTAAAATTATAAGAATTAAATTATATCAAGTTAAAATTTAGATGTAAAGTTATAATTGAATCAAAATTATAAAATAAATAATTAAGGACATGTTTGATTTCTGTTTTTAAATATTATTTTTTAATTTTAAAAATAAAAATAAAAATATTTTGGATAAGTATTTTTTATTTAAATGTTTTTAAAATTGTTTTCATCTTTTATTTTTTTATAAAATAAAAACATCTTAGGGCTATTTTTATTTTTTTCTTTTTTAATTTTTAAAACATACTACATACCACTATTGTCAAACATTAATTCAACTATAATCAATCACTGTGATAAATCATCACCATTAACCATGAACGACGACCACTATCAATATTTTTTAACTCATTTTTTTCCGAAATTAACATGATCAAACAACTTTTTATTTTATTTTATTTTAAAAAATAATTTTTAAAAATTAGTTTACAAAATAATTTTTAAAAACAAAAAAAATGAAAATGAAACCGAGCCAGCAAAATGCCCTCTTCATGCTGATGGGTTTTGTAAATGGAGAGATCCAATTAGTTACCAATCGCCATGGTATAAAGCAAGTAAACTATGTATTGTTGCAGATTTCTAGACAAGGCAATGATCATCGACGATTTGGATGCTTCAAGCAAAACCAAAAACCCATGGAGACTAAGTTCAGTAACACAAGTCGAAGAAGTCAAGCTAGTTCTTCGTCTCATCCCTATCTGGCTAACTTTCTTAATGTTCTTCGTCGTCCAAGCTCAGCTCCACACATTCCTCATCAAGCAAAGCAGCACTATGGCTCGTTCAATCGGACCACACTTCCAAATCCCTCCTGCATCACTTCAGGGCCTCGTCGGGCTCATCATCCTCATCGTCGTCCCGATCTACGACCGCCTTTTTGTCCCCTTCGCGAGAAAACTCACCGGCCACCCATCTGGTATCACGGTGTTGCAGAGAATCGGAACAGGCCTGTTCTTATCTGTCCTCAACATGATCGTAGCAGCTTTAATAGAAACCAAAAGGATTAGTGTTGCTACGGAGAATCATCTTCTGGACAATCCCAAAGCTGTATTACCGATGAGCATATGGTGGATGCTTCCTCAGTATATCATCTATGGTTTTTCTGATGCACTGGCTGTTGTAGGGTTTCAAGAACTGTTCTACGATCAAGTGCCGGAGACGATGAGAAGTCTCGGAGCTGCGGCGTATATAAGCTTGATAGGGATTGGAAGCTTTGCGAGTAACGTTGTTATAAGTGTTGTGGAAGAGATTAGTTCAAGAACTGGTGAGAAATGGTTAGGGAACAATCTGAATAGGGCACATTGGATTATTTCTATTGGGTTTTGGCAGGTTTAGGTGTTGTGAGTTTTTGTATTTATATTTGGTTGGCTACGAGGTTCGTGTACAAAAAAATTGATGTAACTGATGATACTAGAAACCAGAAAGTTTAAGATCTAGCTAGGAGGTGGTGCTTGATATATGTGTGTGTGTGGGTGTGTCTGAGGATGGAGATTTTTGAAAGACCATGCATGTAGCATCCTACATAATATATATGAAAGATGTGTTACTACTACGCTTTTGATGAAAAAACTTATAATAAACACCTGAGGGTTGTATTTAACTATTTTGTCTTTATAAATAAAATTTGTATATGTGAGGTTGACTATATCTTGGAGCTTTGTTTCAATTTTTTTTTCTTTTGATATATCAACATATTTTTAAAAATTACATTTGGGTTATGACTAATTTGAATTGATCTGGCTGCAGATCCATAAATATATAGATTATAGACATAAAATTCTTCCAACAATAAGTTTTTTAACTTACAAATTAAAACACAAAATTGAGCTAGACTTCATTCAAATGAACATGTGTGTCAAGCCGCCTGACTAATTTTTCATTTGGAATGCGAAACATGCACGCGTATTTTTGTAACCACATAGCGTGGCAGATGTAACTATGCCAATAGGATTTAAATTCAATAGCTGTACTTAATACAAGCATTAATGCATGAAGTATCAAAAATATTGAAATTCAAATCAACGATTCTGAATTTATACCCCACTTAAAATTAATAAATAAGTAACTTTACAGAACAATTGATTTGAATTTTAACTATTAAGATACTACAGACACTCAGTACCTGTATTAAATATAGTCGCCAAATTTAAATCCATGCTAGTACGGTTTCAACTAACTACCCATAATTAAATCATTGATATTGTCTAAAAAGAGAATTTCTTAATTTATCTAGCTCTTTATTAAATACATCATCTTTAAAATTGTTCTCATGCGTAACCGCTTACCCTACTTATAGAAAATTGTAAAAATGATAAAATTGAAATAAAGTAATTAATGATCCATCTTTTATACATGCAAAATGACTTATAAAAAGAATCATCATTTTTTTAAAAAAATATGACTTGTATTTAAAACCCAAATGAGTAGTTTGAGAGAAAAATTATGTGTAAAGTAACTTATAAAAAGAATCATCATTTTTACATATAAATTTCAAGGCACTTCTAATTACTTCACCAAAGTTAAGTAGCCATTGTTAAGTTAATAGTTTTGTCTTAAAATAGAATAAACTTTCAATTCTACTCCTAATTTAATAAAAAAGTGTTAAATTTGCATTACATTAATCACTCTTAGTTAATGAGTTTATATGTGAGTAATATTGAAAAAAATATAATCCAGTATTTTATATTAATAAGAATCAAAGAATCTTCCTAGAAGATTCTGTATAATAAAAACTGGAGGGAGAGTATATCCCTTAATTGAATTATATAAATCAAAACTGTTTTTGGGTGACATTTTCCATCAATGTAATTTTTAATTTGAAAATTTTCATAAACTAAAAGCAATGCATTCTTAAATGCACACAACCTTTTTTCAGTGTTATTGTCAGCTTCTCAATACTTCAATTTCCGATATTTCTGTTCAAAAAACTATGGTCTCAGCAAATAATAAATTTCTGTTCCTTTGTTTCTCTTTGCTGCTATCAATTAATATTCTTCTCTATTTTCCTCAATCGGAGTTCTATATATACACTCCCTCCGATCTCAATTTGTTTCATGACTTAATAATTATAATTTGTTTAAAATCACAGTAAGAATTCAAGTATCTCACGAAGAGATTCATATAAATCATGATTAAGTTAATTATGCATTTTAGCTTTTGTTTGTGAAATTAAATGATGAAGTTTAGGAGTGTATTAATCGAAGTTTAAAATTAAAACAATATTTATGACAAAAATTGTCGTGCATGAAGATGTAAATAAATCCTTTGTTAAACTGTTCAAACAGTTAATGTATACACACATATAATCACTATATAAAAGATAACTTTTGAGAATAATAATAATAAAAATGGCCTCCAAAAATTCACTTTAAGCAGCAACTTTAAATGTTGCCATCACAAGTGGATTTTTTAGAGGCAACATTTAAAAATTATTGTCAAAAGTGAAATCTATTTAAACATTTTTTAAAATAATTTGTATAGAAAATTCATCAATTTATTTTTTGTTAAATTTTTTGAGAAAAACTGGAAACTTTCTACACCAATTATTTAAATAGTTAGTGTAAAAAGTCAATTTTTTTAATTTTTTTCTAAAAACAGAAAACTTTCCACATTGGGTAGACTTTCACATTGTGTGGAAAATGATTTTTTTAAAAAAAATTATTTAAAATACTTTTTACATTGGGTAAGTCACTACCCAGTGTAGAAACTGTTTTAAAAAAAAATGTTCAAAACCTTTATACTACTTTCACTTGGTGTAAAAAATAATTTTTTTAAAAAAATATATTAAGACACTTTCTACAATGATGTAGGAAATATTTTTTATTATATTTTTAAAAATTAATAACTTACCTACGCCGGGTAGAAAACCAATTGGTGTAGAAACATTTTTGTTTTTCTTATAATTTTTTTTTAAAAAAAGAATCACTTTCTACATGGGTTATGATGTTACTTGGTGTAGAAACACTTTTACTTTTTTTATATATTTTTTTATAAAATTTTAAACTTTCTACACCAATCAACCGGTGTAAAAAAGAACTTTTTGATACATAAAGTGTTATATTAAATCTATTTATTTATGAAAATACCATGGCCTTCATTTTACACTGATGTAAAAAATATCTTTTTTTTTTTTCCGTGGTAGTGCCACATCAATATTTGATCGTTGATTCCCTAAATGCAAAATGACTCACTACTCATATAAGTGTTACTATAATGTCAAGTGTGAATAAATTTAACTTTGTCTTTGACTTGGTGTAAGGAGAAGCCATACATCAAAATAAAGTAACGTGGGAGCCAATGGCTAGCTTATTGGCCTAGTGGCACCGTACCATATCAAATGAGTAAGGTTGCGTGTTCAAACAATGTATAAGGTTCAAGTAAATAATAGAGGCCATGTGCTTGTGGGTTTCTTTGTGAGAGAAAGTTTAAGTTGCGTGAGTGAATAGAAAAGTAGAGTAGGGTTGAAGAAAACACATACAAATGAAGTGACTTATAAATTTATTAAGCTTTTAAAGGTTAAGACATGATGTTGATTTAGATACTTTTTTCTTTTCTATTTTCATGCATTAGTGGATGCTTTCTTCCAGGAAATGAACTGCCTTAATTATATGATTAAAGCAACTAAATAAATGTGCGGAATATATATAAAGTACTTTAAAAAGAAATTGATGGTCCTTAATATAAATTATTTGGTGAGGTATTAATTACTCCCATATTTTTTCAATATATACATACATATTACATCTATGTAAACTCATTAACTATGAGAGATAATATATTACAAATTTAAAACTTTTTCATTTAAATAGACATGAAATTGAAAGTTTATTTTTTTCGGATAAAATTAATGACTTAATCACCCTTCTTTAGTTCTAATGATATGGTCAGAAATATCTTATAATACAGTGTAGAGGGAGTATATGTACAAACATATTGCATTTTCGTTACAGCACTTAAATAAATGAATGAATATTTTTTAAGTTAGTAAAACTAAAGTTAATTTAAAATCATAGAATGATAGATAAATAGAAATATTATTTTAAGTGATATTTGGGGGAAATTAAAGAAAGAAGAACAGTGGAAGTGTATGGGGGAGTGGATCGATTCACGGTGCCACTGAGATTGTATTGAATAGAAACATTATTGTGCTCAGTTCCATATGCAACTGATGAAATAAATTAAACATGGTCAATAACAGTAAGTCTAACAACAACCACTCCTAATTAATGGGTTTTATTATCATTCAATTCAATGTCTGTTACGAATAACTTCTATACAATCATTTTCTATTTATATGGGTTTTTATGCATGCCCAACAAATCATAAATTTTGTTAAGTTACTTGTTTTCAAGTACTATTCAATATTTTTTCTTATTGACTAAAAAAATATCTTTTCTTAAAGTTTTAATTTTTCAGAAGAAATTTATGTATATACTTCCTCTGATTTCTATTATTTTTTCATTCTATTTATAAATCATTTTTAACATATTTTATTAGAATTAAGAAATATTAAAACTCATAACTCTATTACAAAATTTAATGAGTTTTTAACTTTACTCTTATTAAATAGGCTAAAGTGCATAAAAATCTCTGAACTTTGAGGCAGTCACATATAACCCTCTTACTTTTAAAAGTTTAAAATTGACCCCCTTAATCTTTAATTTTATTTTTTAAAACCTCTTCTATTAATTATATTATTTTTTCATAAGGGTTAAAATGTCATTTAACTAAAAATATTATTAAACAAAAATATTATATTGTAGAATTATTTATAATCCATTTCTTATATTTGTTTAATAATTGAGGCATTGGCATCCAAAAAAATATTATTATTACTATATGAAATTTTAAATATTTGTGTTTATATTAATTTTATCCATATTTTTTTATCAATGGTGCATAGTTTTATTGTTTTAAAAGATACATTTTTATTTTTAGGTTAGACTAATGTAATGCATATGGCTATCCTTTAATGCAAGAAAACTATACACCATTGATAAAAAAAATAGATAAAACCAATATAAAAATAAATACTTAAAATTTTATACTGTGATAATAATATTTTTTGACTGTCAATGTCTCAACTATTTAAAAAATATAAGAAATTAATTAACTATAGTTTTGCAATATAATATTTTGTTTAATAAAGTTTTTTTGATTAAATGATATTTTAACCCTTATGAAAATAATATAATTAACAGTAGAGAGCTTTGAAAAATAAAATCAAATGTTAGAGAGTTAATTTTAAATATTTAAAAGTGATGAGGTTCATGTGTAATTGCTTCAAGGTTCATATGTAGCATAATGCGCATTCAACTACCTTATCAGAACCAAAAAAATGTGGTTAAATTATTAACTTTATTTGAAAATAGAATAAACTTTCAATTTCTCCCGTATTTAAGGAAAAAAAATTTCAACATACATCATTCTCCCTCTCATAGTTAACGAATTTAAATAGAGGTAATATTAGAAAATGTAATTAATACCCTCATAATGTATTTTATATTAAGAAAAAAAATGTATCTAAAAAGTTCCCTATAATAGGGATTGAAGGGCGTATATACCAAGCTTATTAACTTGTTTATGAATTTAACTAAATCT